TGAGTCTTTTTAACAAATACACTAGATAAGTCATTAATTATTTTAACAAATAACTGATGTATTCAATTCATGCACACGTAGATACACAGGAAATTCTACTTTCCCTTCTATTGCTAATGAGACTGGTTTTCTGACGTGTATGTCATTGCCTTCTAGGATGGCCTGGCAGAAATGGAATATAGGATCCCTTCTATTGCTAATGAGACTGGTTTTCTGACGTGTATGTCATTGCCTTCTAGGATGGCCTGGCAGAAATGGAATATAGGATCCCTTCGATTGCTAATGAGACTGGTCTTCTGACGTGTATGTCATTGCCTTCTAGGATGGCCTGGCAGAAATGGAATATAGGATCCCTTCTATTGCTAATGAGACTGGTCTTGTGACGTGTATGTCATTGCCTTCTAGGATGGCATGGCAGAAATGGAATATAGGATCCCTTCTATTGCTAATGAGACTGGATTTCTGACGTGTATGTCATTGCCTTCTAGGATGGCCTGGCAGAAATGGAATATAGGATCCCTTCTATTGCTAATGAGACTGGTCTTCTGACGTGTATGTCATTGCCTTCTAGGATGACCTGGCAGAAATGGAATCACTTCTATTGCTAATATGACTTGTCTTCTGACGCGTATATCATTGCCTTCTAGGATGGCATGGCAGAAATGAAATATAGGATCCCTTCTATTGTTAATATGACTAGTCTTCTGACGTGTATGTCATTGCCTTCTAGGATGACCTGGCAGAAACGAAATATAGGTACAAGTAAAACAAATGCTTCATGCGGAATTGTTCTAGTGATTGGGTAGTGCTGAATGATTTAGTGAATACTTAATATTGTAAGAGTAAATGTCAACTTTTTGTCAAATTTCTAGACTGTCTATATTACATCCTCAGCACGTTGATCTCTCATTCAGTACAAACTTTCCTGTAGGAATGAATTTTGTACTGAAAGATAAATTAACATTTGTGTCAGTTGCAACTTACAACTGATGAGCACATGCATACTGTGCACCGATATTACAGAGGTCACTACAATAAATTATATATAAAAATGACTTAAGATCCAGGACAAACTTTATTAAGCAACATTTGGGCTTACGCTATCTATTTTGACCTCTATAACATGTTCTTTTAGTGTGTCATCTTGGTTACTATGGCTCATTTCAACCTAAGTTTTTGTTTTCACCTGTGTGGTACTGTGATTCAAGGGAAGACCTTTATTTCAGCGTTATTCACCACAAATTGTAAGAAACGATCATAAAAATGTGTTGGAAGTGGGTGTAGTTTGTTTTATATATTTGGGTAAAGTTTTTTATTATCCTTCCTTAGTTTTGGAGTAATGGAGGTTAATCAACTGAACAGTTCACCAGTTACTGACATATGAATTCATATATATGAATCTTATATCACTCGTCGGTTACACAATGGACAGACATGATCGCTAACTCTTGAGCTACTTTAATCGAACAGTTGAATTTGGTTTAAAATATGTTTTCGTGTGTTTGTTGACAATGACTAATTAAATCTATGAGTTAGAATATCAAAACAGGAAACTCAAGGGTAAGAAATAAGGTCTATCTGCGCTAATTTAGAAGTGATGGACAAGGAGGAAGGCAGGAAGTCAACATCACCCACCACCAGTTCTTGGGCTACTCTTTTACCAATGAAAAGTGGGGTTGACCGTCACATTATAACGACCCACGACTTAAAGGGTGAGCATGTTTGGTGAAGGGATTCGAACCTGCAACCAGTAGATTGCAAGTCGAGTGCTCTAACCACCAGGCCTTCATATACTGAAACACCACTCCATCTGGTTTTGTTTCTTTTATTTAAACATGCTTGAATTCAGTATTACTCACATTACCACATCACCCCTCAGTAATAACCTAAATTATAAACTGAAAATTTCAAAATATTAAATGAAATCTAAACCTCTACAAAACACACGTAGTAATATAATAATTAGGTTAATCAACTGAACAGTTCACCAGTTATTCATATATATATATATATGAATTTTCTATCATTGTTCGGGTACACAATAGTTTATACTTTCTGGTAAGTTATCATCTTCAGTACAGAGTTAGTTGTCATCTTCAGTTATATTAGAACCTTGTTGTGTTGGTCATCTTCATGTACATCGAGATCTTATATTATCAACCACCTCTGTATAATTGTAAATGTCAAAGACTAGCCATTTTCAGGTATAAAGTTTTACATTAGCACACATTTTCAGATATAGAGAAAGTTTTACATTATCACACATTTTCGGGTATAAAGAAAGTTTTACATTAGCACACATTTTTCAGATATTGAGAAAGTTTTACATTAGCACACATTTACAGATATAGAGAAAGTTTTACAGTAGCACACATTTTTCAGATATTGAGAAAGTTTTACAATAGCACACATTTTTCAGATATTGAGAAAGTTTTACA